CTGGCTGTGGGTGGGAGGCACTCTGGCCTAGCTGGAGCAGCCCCTGTCAGAGGCAGATGGGTCACTCCAGCCCACCCCCCGTAATTGGCTAAGCAGATAACATGATGTTTAACCAGTTAACCAATTAATGAGATTTTACATCTCTAGTAAAGGCCAGCTGCCCTGTTTAAAAAAAAATCTGTTTGAAATATATTGCAGAATCTGTTTGAAATAAATTGCAGAATCATTGCATAGGTTTGAATATTTCAAGCATGTGAACCCCAGTTTCTCCACCTGCTCTTTTACCTGCATTACTCAGTTCAAAATTCTAGATGCTGTTTTCTGGCATCACTGATGACTGCAATACTATCAGTGCATGCAACCAAGATCAGAGGTCTTGAATTTGGAGCTTATGGTCCAGAGGAGAAAATGGCTTGTACACCTTTCTAGTGAGAAGTGGGTGCAAGTGTGGGGATACTTTCATTGTTGGGAGCCTAACTGCAGGTAGAGAAGGGCAAGATATTTCAGAGCAGTTGAGCATGCGCAACTCCCATAGATGCTTACAGAGACATGGGCTGGCACGTCTCTTTATAGTTGCACGTAATTAAAAAATTAACTTCCACTGTTAGCTTAAGAAGATTTCACAGTTCACTCTGATGTTGTCCTGCTGACAAAATACCCCTGGTATTGAATGATTCCTAACATTCTGTAACATGCACAAGTCCTGATCTTCATACCAGGTGCAGGGGGTTGGAGAATCTAATCTTTATTCAGAAACAAGCTGACTTTAAAACATTGGGTATTGGGTTTCATAATAAGGAAAGAGGATAATGGATGACTTTTGGAAAGGAAAAGTGTGCCTCACCAATCTATTAGACCTAAAACTCCAGTCATCTGAAGAAGTGGGCTGTGCCCACGAAAGCTCAAGATACCGTCTACATGTTTTGTTAGTCTATAAAGTGCTACCAGACCATTTGTTGTTTAAGTTTATTAGAATTCTGAGAGATCATCAACAAACAAGGGTGATCCAGTGTAGTTCGACTTTCAAAAAGCCTTTGACAAGGTTCCTCTTCAGCAAAGTAAGTTCTCATGGGATAAGAGGGAAGGACCTCTCATGGATTGATATCTGACTAAAAGATAGGAGACAAAGAGTAGGAATAAATAGTCTGCTTTCAGAATGGAAAGAGGTAAATAGTGGCAACCTCAGTGATCCATATTGGCACCCGTGCTGTTCAACATATATGTAAATGAGCTGGGGAAAGGGTTTCAGAGGGGTAGCTGTGTTAGTCTGTAACTGAAAAAACTTAAAGAACAACAAATAGTCCTGCAGCACCTTAGAAATGAACACAAAAATGTAAATGGCATCATGATTTGGGGGAAAGGAGTAAACAGTGAGGTGGCAAAATTTGCAGATGATACAAAATTAAGATACAGGCTGTCCCCGAGTTACGTGGATCCGACTTACAGATCCCTACATACGAACGGGGCTTTTCTCGCCGCAGAGGACGTGGGCGGCGGGACCGCCCAGATGTGCCCGGCGGCCCCCCCGCCCGCATCCTCCGTGGTGAGAAAAGCTGCTCCGCGTCTCCCTGGTCTGCTGGGGGTGCCCCCCAGCAGACATGGGAGATGCAGAGCAAAGCCACGGAGGACGCGCCGTGGTCCCGCCGCCCGCGTCCTCCGTGGTGAGAAAAGCCGCTCCGCGTCTCCCTGGTCTGCTGGGGTGGCTTCCGCAGCAGACCAGGGAGACGCGGAGCAGCTTTTCTCACCACGGAGGACGCGGGCGGCGGGACCGCGGCACATCTGGGCGGTCCCGCCGCCCGCGTCCTCCGTGGTGAGAAAAGCCGCTCCGCGTCTCCCTGGTCTGCTGGGGTGGCTTCCGCAGCAGACCAGGGAGACGCGGAGCAGCTTTTCTCACCACGGAGGACGCGGGCGGCGGGACCGCGGCACATCTGGGCGGTCCCGCCGCCCGCGTCCTCCGTGGTGAGAAAAGCCGCTCCGCGTCTCCCTGGTCTGCTGGGGTGGCTTCCGCAGCAGACCAGGGAGACGCGGAGCAGCTTTTCTCACCACGGAGGACGCGGGCGGCGGGACCGCGGCACATCTGGGCGGTCCCGCCGCCCGCGTCCTCCGTGGTGAGAAAAGCCGCTCCGCGTCTCCCTGGTCTGCTGCGGAAGCCACCCCAGCAGACCAGGCTTTTCTCGCCGACGCCTGGGGTAGAGCAGCTAGGGTGCTGCTGGGTTGGTCCCGCAGCACCGCTCCTCAGCGCTACTGGACCAACCCGGCAGCACCCCAGCTGCTCTGTCCCAGGCATCCAGATTCAGCCGCTGTTGAAACTGATCAGCGGCTGATTCCAGGAAGCCCGGGGTAGAGCAGCTCTGCCTCGGGCTTCCTGTAGTCAGCCGCTGGTCAGTTTCAACAGCGGCTGAATCTGAACGCCAGTGAATGCTGTGTGAAGATCTAGTTACCATATCTCAAAAAAGATATATTAGAATTGGAAAAGATACAGACCAGGGTAACAAAAATTAGGGGTGTGGAACAGTTTACATGTGAGGAGAGATATGACTGGGGTTTTTCAGCTTGGAAAATAGACAACTAAAAGGGGATCTGATAGAAGTCTTTGCTGTTTTTGGCAAAAACAGCAAAGAACATAGTGGTATTTCAAGGGCTAACAAATTTATTAGGGCATAAGCTTTGACTTATAGCTCATGAACACTTATTTCCTAATGCCCTAATAAATTTGTTAGTCTTTAAAGTTCCAACGGATTCCTTGTTGTTTTTGCTGAAACAGACTAACACTCTCTGAAATCTACAACAATTTTGACTGGTGTGGAGAAATTAGATAAAGTGTCGTTTACTACTTCAAATAATACGAGAACCATGGGTCACCCAATGAAATTAATAGTCAGTGTGTTTAAAATAAAAGGAAGTATTTCTTCACACAACGTACAGTCAATCTGTGGAACACATTGCCAGGGGATGTTGTAAAGGCCAAAGCTATAACGGCATTTAAAAAAAACCTAGATAAATTCATAGAGAACAGACCCATTAGTGATTATTAGTGAGGATGATCAGGGTTTCAATTCCATGCTCTGAGTTTCCCTAGCCTCTGTTTGCTCAAAGCTGGGAGTGGATGAAGGAAGATGAATCACTTGATCATTGCCTGTTCTGTTCATCTTCTCTCTGAAGCATGTGACATTGGCCACTGCTGGAAGACAGGATACTGGACTAGATGGACCCTCTATGACAGTTCTCATGTTCTTAGAGCTGCGTAAGGGTAGCTAAGGGAGCAGGGGAAACCATTTTAGTGACTGTTAAGGTGGAGCCTAGGTGTCAGACATACAGCTAGTGGGGGAAGATGACCCTCTAATTAATTTGATTTAGCTAAAGTCATTTGTTTTGTGCTTGGAGAGTGTCTGTCCGGACCAGTGTTTCTTAAACTTTTTGAGACCCCGGAACACCAAACAATAATATTTTTTTATGCGGAACACAAATGAAAATTTTCTTCAAAAAAAAAAAAAAAAAAAAAGTCAGACAAAAAAAGACAAAAACAAAGAAGTAACAAAAACAAGGAAGAGGTTGCAGCACACCTGTGTGGTGTTTGCAGAATACCAGTGTTCCGCAGAACATAGCTTAAGAAACAGTGGTCTGGACACTGACCAAGAGCAGCTGCTGAGTGCCAGCAGCGGATTTAGGGCAGGGCGAGCGGGGCATGCGCTGTGGCACCACGGTGCAAGAGCTGTGTCAAAGAAGGGGCCCCGTGAAATTTCGCTGCCCGAGGCCCCACGGCGCTGCCCTGGGCCCCGCGGGGCACTCATCCGCCCCTGCTGAGTGCTGAGGAGTGGTTAGATTTGGGGCCGGAGCCATGAGAAGTTGAGAGATGGGGTTTGCGGAAGCACTGAGTGTACTGGAGCACACCCCTTTGGTGCAGCTCTGCAAAGGAAGAAATACTGGGGGGGACTGAGGGTATGCAGGGTGAAGGGAGCAAGACTTAAAGTAGCATTTGACTATCCAGCCAGGGGCATTACCCCTCTGCCTCCAAGTTCTCCTATCCTGTTTCTTCAGAATGTCCTTTCGAGTGGCGGTTGAAGAAGAGAAGCTTCACGCTGCCTACACTGCCGGAGCCCAAGAACACAACTTCTGCAGTTGTTTCCTTTCCCTCCTCATAGTTCTTTCTCTCAGCGTCTAGTGGGATCTCCCAGCTGCTGTCTTCAACCCCCACTGACCTGTCCTGGCTTTGTCTTGAGCTTGACTTGCTCAGAGTGCGTGTGTGGGTGTGATGGTCTCTCTCCTTTTGTTTTACAACAGGTTTGAACGATACAGATCAGGCCGTTCGGCACAAAGTGCCAGTAATGGAGTAAGTATCCAGTTTGTCTTCTACAGTGATGGCACGCTCAGAGGAGGAGACATCTGTCCAACATACACTGAGTGCCTGCGTTATAACAGTAGTTAAGGAGGAGAACGTTTCCATGACTGGTTCATATTTAATGTACAAGTTGAGGTGAAAGAGGGTTTTGGGGGCTCAGCTCTTACTATTATCTGGCTCCAAAGCTAAAGGGGGTGAGGAGACAGAAGCAGGTTAAGCAATTCTGAGATGATATGGGAGACACGTGAGAGAGATTTTCTTCAAGACTGCATTGGATGGGATTATACCATAATGGCAAGCCAGATGTTAAGCCTAACGTGCTTTTTGGACAGTGACCCGGACAGATAAATAGCTTTTTCGTTCTCCTTGTGTTGCATTCATCATCTAGGAGCCTAATTAAAATGCTCCCATTTACAACAGCTTTCCAGCGAGGGAGTGTATAGGAAGCATCCATCATTCTTGGTTTATTTTGTCTCTGTAACGGTTGCTCAGTGGGATGCGTAATCTGTCACCTTGACTGTCCCAACAGGTGCTGAGTGAGGTGACAGAGGATAATTTAATAGATCTGGGCCCTGGCTCTCCAGCTGTCGTGAGCCCCATGGTGGGGAACACAGCACCCCCAACTTCACTTTCCTCGCAACTTGCTGGGCTTGGTAAGTGCCTAACTTTTAAAGGGCAGATCAGCATGGAATAGCAGCTGTTCAAGACTAGTCCCTAATCACGTTGGGGTGGACCTGTCTTTAGGTCCCAGTAGTTTAATAAGCGCATGGATTTAGTATGAGAGAAGTTTCAACATTAAGATGGGCTGTGGGTAAAAAGCTTTGTCCAGTGGTTAGAACAGGGGAAAATGAGATGGACAGGGGCTTCAGTCTGTCACTGAATCACTGGGTAGCCTTGGTCTAGTCACTTAACCTCCAGGCTTTCCTTTTCTTAGCTGTAAAGGCAGGATATTATTCCTTTACCTGCTCTACAGGGGCATGAGTCTTAGAAGCACTTTTTAAAACTTAATTGAAATCCTCAGATGAATAGTTCTGTCCAAGCGCAAAATCTTGCGGGTTATACTAGATTAAAGGGCTCTTGAGCTGGGCACTCTGCTTGACCTCCATGTTCGCTTCCCATCCGGTTTAACAATGGGGAGAGGCATAGGACGAAGAACTAAAACGGAAAAAAATGGAATCCTTGCACAGAACAGCTGTCGCAGGGGGTTTGTGGCACGCTGTCTTACTGAACAGTAAATTATTTTAGTGAGCATTTTTCATCAAAGAAATGCCAACATTTGGAGCTTGGTATTCTGTATTAATTCAAGGGATATTGGGGTTGAAAACCAGTTTTATATTTAAACTTGTAAATCATGGTAGAAAAAATGGAAAAAATTCCCCAAATTGGATAACATTGGCACATCGCCCAAATGTGGGGGGAGTGATAAATGCAGAGGACAGGTCACTGGTACAGAGTAATTTGGATCATTTGGTAAGCTTGGCACAAGCAAACAATATGCATTTTAGTATGGCCAAATGTGAAGTCATACATCTAGGAATAAAGAGTTCAGGCCATGCTTACAGGATTTGGGGGGAGGGGGAGATAGGCGGGCGCTGTCTTCTGGGAAGCAGAGACTCTGCAAAAGACTTCAGAGTAATCTGCTGAACACGGGCTCCCAGTGTGACATTGCCATCAAAAGGGCTAAGGTGATCCTTAGATTTATAAATGAGAACATCAAGCAGGCGTAAGAAGGTTCTATTACTGCTCTGCTTGGCACTCGTGCAACTGCTCCTGGAATATTGAGTCTAAGTCTGGTGTCTATAATTCAAGAAGGATGTAGGTAAAAGCAGACTGAAAATAGGCACCCATTTTTAACAGGCTAATTAGAACAACTTAAGATGAGTTGTGGCAGTTCTTCACTGGCGATTTTTAAAACGAGAGATTTCCCAAGAGAGATACTCTAGTTTAAACAGGAACTAATTCTGGGAAGTCCTTTTCTTTGTGTTACACAGGAGGTCAGACGAAATGATCACAAGTCCATTCTGGCTTTATAATCTATGAAAATTGTGTAAAATTAGCTGTGTGGCTGTGATTGTTCCCTTAGCTCTGACAGCACTGTGTGAAACCAACTGAATCTCAGTGCAGATTTGCAATACAGAAAAATAGAAATGACTTTCTCTCATTCCATTAATTTTCTTCATCTGTTCGTCACTCACTTTCCTGCATTTCAGTTTTTCCTCGTTCCCTCCCTGCCTGGGATCTCAAAAACATAATGAAACGGGGAGATGGGAGGGGAGAAGGCAGCTTTATTCTACTTAGGAGGTAGAGTTTATATCCTGGTTCTTGGGAGATGGGAAATGTCTGTCCATACTACTCGAGGTAAAAGCTCTGCTAGCAGATACTGTGTATAATAAGCAAGGCTGTGACTAGCAGAGGCTGTCTTTTATGGACTGGGCCCAGAGGATGTCTCCTTCACGCTCCGTCAGTGCAACATTATGGCTATCCTCTAGTTTACACTGTAACTATGCTCTATTGCTGATGAGTGCTTGTGTATCGCTGGTTGTCCCAACTGGTATTTGATCACTGCTCACTATTGGGTTGGTTCCTTTCCCTTACACTCTGTACTTTGGTGGTGGTTGTTGTTTCTGTAGACTTGGGCACAAACAGTGTCAGTGGAACACTCAGCTCCCTTCAACACTGTAACCCTCGAGATGACTTCGACATGTTTGCGCAGACAAGAGGCAGTTCCCTGGCGGATCAGCGGAAGAAGTAAGTGGGGATTTGGTTTCAAATGCTGTGTATTCTTAGGGAACAAAATCTGAGGCCTCCTCAGATCAAAATTATTTTATAACTCAAACTTTGTGGATTTTTGTCCTCTAACCTTGCTTAATCTAGGTTTCCTCCTGCTGGATTTCAGTGGATTATTTGAGTAGCTGTAGAGGTCGTTTTTATAGGCCAAGGTCCACTGTAGATTGGTTCGGTAATTTCAGGTGCTGTCTCGTTTCACCTTTGAATTTCTAAGCCACCTAGAAACTTAGAAATTCAGTCCCTTAAATTATTTTTCTACAGGATGTGTGTGGGAATGAAACTCCCCTTAAATATCCATGAAGATATCAGAGCATGAGTCAACTTTGGGAGACTAGCAGTGGCTTAGTAGCTATCCTGTTAAAAACCTGTGGCTGACCCATGCCACCAGACATGGAGGCTGGCTACAATACTGTTTAATTGCAGTATAGACATCTATGCCTGAACTGGAGCCTGGGTTCTAGGAGGCTTGGAAGGTCTCTGAGATTCGGCTGCAGGCTAGACGCAGATGTCTAATTGCAGCGTAGACACACACTTGGATCCAGTCCCCATAGGTCATTGCTTCGATCCTGTACAGGTCTGTAATGACCTATAGTTCCCAGACCCTCAGTGGTGATAACTGAATTACCATCTCACCCTTCGGACTGGATCCTGCTGCTCCGGATCAAGGTATGTTGGCTGCGCAGCATGAAGATGCTCCCACACTGCACCTATTCAGCCTCCAGGGCTGCATATCAGACACCTTCCCAGACACTAAATGGGCATGAATTTATTTAATGGAGGAGTCCGCCCTCTTAGTTGAGAGATTTGATCTCCCACAAGTGAGGCTCATAGAAAGGACACTGGGAGGTATTTTCATTCCATGTACCCCTTCTCGGGGTCTCTTCCTGGTTCCAAATTCTAGGCGATACAGGCAGCATCGGAGTTTGGGAGTGAGTTCAAGTATCGCAATAGGAACAGCACCAATATGCATCAGTGACAGTCACCTTGGAAGTGCAGCTAGGCAGTGTCATATGCACCTTCATTACCTTTCTCAGCTAGTAACTCACCCCTGCGTTCCATTTGTGCCTTCTATGCTCAACAAACATCATCCTCACCAGGCTGGGAAGTTACAGCTGAGAGGCCTTGAGAACAGGAGGCCTTAGGCCGACATGAGTACAGATGTCCATGCTGCTCCAGCTGGAATAGAAATATACACGATCAGTTTAGCATTTTAATTGGGAGTTACTAAATTAGCACTGAGGGTTTCTGAATTCACACTAAGGCGCTAAGCCTGAGGTGAATACCTAATGGTGGGATCTAAATCCAGATCCTTTACAAGGTTTCCATTACACCTCTTGTACTAAATGAAACGTGAAACTGCTCTCCTCAGCCTGCGACTCCATCTCCATCATCTGGGAGGTAATGGCGCAAAGAGCGCACACACATCCGTCATTTCAGAAGGGAGGATTATTGTACTTTCATTAGCTCTTGTGCTGTTAAAATAGAGTGAAGCAGCTCCCCAGAGACTTGGCTGTAGCTTATTCTGCTGCAGAAGCAAGTGAGAGACTGGATCGCAGGTCCTCAGGCTGGTAGAAGCAGGCATGCCCAGGAGAGGTATTTCACCAAGTCAGGCATGTAGCACCACCCAGTGGCTAATTTACAGGTAGGTGTTGGTATCTGCCTGAGAGAGTCAATTACTAGCCCTTGTGCATGAAGGAAAAGGGATGGCAGTGCTCCCTTAGCTCAGTAACTATAGCTATGAATCTTTTTCAGTGGTAATTTTACATGTCTTTTGAAATTCCCAGTAAAGAGGCTGTGGCTCTAGCGAGCTGAGGTAGCGTGTTTTCCTGCATCTCTTCTTAAAGCACTTGTTGATTACTGTGGCCACTGCCAACATGTCCCTTAACTGGCAGGACCTTCTTTCCTGTCCATTATCTGATGAGGTTGTGTCTCCCTTTTCCTCCACTGGCTTCCCCCTCACCACATTATGTTCAAGCGTCTTGTTAGCACCTTTTAAGGCTTCATGTAAACTTAACTGCTTTTCTATCTAGTCCCGGTGTGTTATCCTCCTCTGCCGCTCTACCATTAATGACAGCTTTCACGCCCCACGTGCATGCTTCTCCATCATCGTGATGCATTCTTCTGTGCTGTCCTCTGCGTTTCGCAATGCCCTTTCCAAACAGACTTCCAAAGCCATTACCCCATCTTTAAATTCCACCTGAAGGCTGACTCCTACTGTGGTAACTAACAAACGTGCTGATTTAAGTCTCATTCTGTCTCAGGAAAACCCACAAAACTCTGTCTTCACCGTCGTGCTGTACACTAGCCTCCAGAGAGTAACTGAGAAATCAAATCTGATTGTTGTCCTGCCTCCCTTCCCTCCCCCTCCTCTGTCTCTTACACACCACGTGTTGCATCTGAAATCCATTTGTAACCTCCTTGGGTGAGAGAATGTATTTTGTCTGCGCTGGGAAGCAACTGCTGCGTTGATGGAACTTTATATACTCCATGCTAGTCTCAAATAGCCAGCTAGTTGATTAGTGCCTAATGCATTTGACCAGGCATTGAGTGATGGCTGGATTTGCATTGGTTCTCTTTGTTCTTTTGTTGCAGTGTGACGTATGAGGATCCACAGGCCGTCAAAGGACTGGCGTCTGCTCTAGATGTGCGAAAACAGAATGCTGGAGGGGTAAGTCATTGCTCTGAAAGAAGCACTCCAGCACAAAACTGGGAGCATGAAATGCCAAGAGCTACAATATTGCTGGGTAAACACCCGAGTTAGACTGCTCATTTGTATCCCACCAATGATTTGGAAGTAGCACTGACCATTGTATTTAATGTGGGTGTCAGCGAGGGGCATTTTCTAAGAGCAAGTTCCTTCTTGATACCCGTTTCTAGAGAGACTAGCTACTTGGTGGATTCAGCTTAAATAACATCACAAAAACATAGTGGGTGAATGCTTCTGCAATCTTTGTCTGCTCGGATGTCTGGCTTTCTGGGAGGCACTGTTGCAGGACTAAATATAGGTAATCTTCTGTGAATGCTGATTAATTCTTGTCTGTGAAAGTTGATAGAGGGGTTCAGAAGGACCACAATCTATGTGAAGTTACAACAAACTAGATAGTAATGACTGAGAGCGAGAGCTCACCCTTTAACTCCTTTGGACATCCCCATGTAGAGATGTGAGCTGAGTACAGACCAAGTGAAATTCCCAGATAATTCTCTCGCCCCTTTTTACAAATATCTTTTTATAGCTCCCATGTCACTTTGTATTCTCATGGTTGTCAGTGTAAGTCTAATCAGGGAAGCCAACAGCCTTCAACGTGTGTGTGGCGGGGAGAGGGAGTGCTGGCTTTATATACTTGGAAAGGGCAGGGGCGGGGCTGGAACAGCCAGCCCTGAGCCCTACTCAGAGCATGTTGCATCACTCTCTCCCCTCCCCCAGCAGCGCTCAGCGCTGCCCAGAGCGCAGTGCTGCCCCCACCCAGCCCTTAGAGTTGCCTGGAGCACACAGCTCAGTGCTCCGGCAGAGATTTAAAGGGCCCAGGACTCCAGATGCCACAGCTGCTGCAATAGCCATGGTGGCAGCTGGGAGCCACGGATCCCTTTGAATCACTGGGTCCTGGGGAAACTGCCCGTTGTCACCCCTCCCCCATTGGTAAGCCTGAGTCTCATTATGGCTGAAGGCGTTCAAAGCTTCCAGACTAGCCTGGGCTCTGTGTTGGCCACTAGGAGCGTGGAAGAGTCAATGCAGTCTTCATAGTATCTTAGAGCTGAAAGAGACCTCAGGAGTCATCAAGTCCAGCCCCTGCCCAAGGCAGGACCAACCCCACCTAAATCATCCCACCCAAGGTGTTGCCAAGCTGGGACTTAAAAGCTTCTAGGGATGGAGATTCTGCCACCTCCTTAGGTAACCCCTTCCAGTGCTTCCCCACCCTCCTAGGGAAATAGTTTTTCTTACTATCCAGCCTAGACCTCCCCCTCTGCAACTTGAGACCATTGCTCCTTGTTCTGCCATCCACCACTACTGTGAACAGCCTCTCTCCATCCTCTTTGGAACCTCCCTTCCGGAAGTTGAAGGCTGCCATCAAATCCTCCCTCACTCTTCTCTTCCACAGACTAAATAAGCCTTAATCCCTCAGCCTCTCCTCATAAGTTGCAGATCCTTCTCCATCTGCTGAGTAGCATTTTCCCCATCCCATGCTGATCCCCTCTCCATGCTCTCTCATGACAGCAGCTTGCACTATATTCTGAGGCACTTCACTCGGAGACAGCGAGAAACAGGAATGAATTGTTGGGGGTGACTCAGGCCAGCTGTGCCTTGCTGCTGCTTAGACTGCTGAGAGCAGAATCTTTAATCCCTTCTTTGTTGCTAGCTAACGTTGGAATAACCAGTGTTGAGTGCTGAGGTGACGCATTAGGCCCTTGGCAATGGGGGCTCTACTACTCCACGGATGGCCAAGGAGTTTGTATCCTTATTCATTAGCGGTCTTATTTTATACCTGTGTCAGGCACAGCTTCCACCTGTCACTCACACCAGCAAAGCTGTTACTTTGCCTGACGCGTTGTCAGTTCAAAGGACCAAATCTAAACTAATCTGACTGGTCAAAGTATTGGAAAGCAGTCGCTCTCCTGGACTACTGAACTTTGGACTGTGGGTTGTCGTTACAGCTCAGATCTTCGCCCTCTTTTCAAAAGTCCCGATGACTACACCAGGTTGTCAAACTAGCCCATGTTATGGCTGGTTGATCAAGGGCCCTGCTTGTTGAGGAAGAAACGTAAACCCTGAATAGTTAGGCAGCAAAATACATTTTACAAATGCAGCGAGGCTGCTGAGGACTGCATCTCAGAGGAGATTTAAAAATGCTAATAACGTCTAAAAGTTACCCGCCCCTGTTGACAGCTGCTGCTTCTCCATAAACGAATGTGTGGTGTAATTAGGACAGAATGCTAACCGAAGGGTTTTTTTATTTATTTATAGAGCTTCCTGGGAGTGGCCAAAACCCATTCTTCTTACACTTCTCCTTTTAGCGAGGTTCTCTTGTGTTAAAATTCTTCTAATCAAACTGAAGTAGTGCAGAATAGTGAGAGATGCAGCCGTGTTAGTCTGGTCTAGCTGAAACAAAAGACAGAACTATGTAGCACTTCAAAGACTAACAAGATGGTTTATTAGGTGATGAGCTTTTGTGGGCCAGACCCACTGAGGAAGTGGGTCTGGCCCACAAAAGCTCATCACCTTATAAACCATCTTGTTAGTCTTTGAAGCGCTACATAGTTCTGTCTTTTGTTTGAAGTAGAGCAGTCATTCTCAAATGGAGGGCCATGGAGAGCTGGTTGGTCCGGGGCAATTGGCTAGCCTTGTTTCTAGCTGCAAAGTCACATTAAGACAGCTAAACCTATTTTATTTTTACCTGTCCATGTTGGAAATTGCTATAGCTGCCATCAAGATGTATCAGGATAGCACCTGGGAAGGCTGAAGCCCAGGAGATAATCTCTAATGTTATCCAGACTGTGGAGAAGTTCAGAAGATTCAGACAATTCCACCTCGGGATACATTCCCCAGCCCAAGTCCTGAAATGAGATGTTATGGTTTTGGTCCTCTTAAATAGTGAAGCCCTTAAAGCGATGCAGTTTGAAAGACTGCCAAAACATTTCATCCAGCTGGGATTATTTACTCTCCCCTTACCACCTTCTTTATGCCCCTCATAAGGCTGCCGTTGCCAAGCTGAGCCTGGCCAGTCTGTCTGGAAACGAAGAGAAATTGGAGGAGAAATAAATATTAGCTGTGAATTATTATAACCTTCAAAAAACAAGGGTTTTTCCAGAATCACTTAAATTTAGGGATTTCTGTGAGGTCTGACAGATTTCTGAGTCGTCTAGTCCACACCCTGACCTCTAAGAAAAACCAACGTCAGCCTCACTTAAACTGTTAGCTCTGTAACCTGTTCAAAGGAAGCCAAGGGTACCGAAGTCCTGTTTCTGATGTACAGATAGCAGAGAAGGGTGACAGAACCCGGGGGGTGGGGCCTTAAGTGTGTATTATCAGAAAGGACTCTATGCACAGTGTATGCCTCTATTTTACTGATGTTGTATTATTACTTTATCGTGGGTTTTGCGATGGTTTTCTTTATGGGCATTTCTGTTCTCAACACAGAGGAGAGGTAAAGGTGGGAACTCAGACATGGAGCCCATAGACAAGTGGCTAATTACACAAGGAATGGTGAGAATTTCACCAGTAAAATGAACCCTCTTGCCCACTCCCGTTCCTCATGTAGAATAACCATCCTGTGTTTACCTCTCACCCAACCTACTGAACTACCACAAATCAGACAGTACAAGGATTTTATCCCCTACCTGCATAATTGTCTGGGGGAAGTTTAATATCCTGAGGGGGGTGTCTGCCAAAATTCAGTTTTTATGTTGCCCAGAGACCTACAGCCCAGTAAGTGTCGTCTTGGCATCAGTTGTAGGAGTTTCTACTGTCCATATTCACCTCCAAAACAGGGCTGGGGATGCTGTTAGTTCCTTTTACTGTCTCGATTTATACATGCAGTATCCACTTTTCAAGCATAAACACAAGCTCCATGTATTTTAATTTAGGGGTGGGTCATTTTCGAGGCTCCTTTTCAACTCCTTCAATAGCAACCTGCTCCTGTGGCACTTAACTCTAAGGTGAGCTCAGCACATGAAGTTTGCAGGATCAAACCTAATTGGATTGAGTAATCTAGGAGAAGGGTCCTTCTCTTTTTTTGATTACAAGGCGTTCCCGCTATACGTCGCCCCAGTATACATCAGTTCCGCACTAGCGTAGTTGACACTTGTAGGAACTGATGCATTATAAGTCCTCCCATTCCCCACTCTTACATTGCACAAAAAAAACCAACAATTTGCACAAATGGAAGTCAGATGTGGGGAAAAAAAATTCCCCACTTAATGTCGTTTCGCTATACATCCACTATTTTTGGAACGTATCTTGGCTGTATAGCGGGAACACCCTGTATTCTAAAACAGGGGAATCTGAGTCTAATTGGATTGATGCATTGCATTTGCACTGGCAGATGTCCCATTAAGGAATATTTCCTGCATGAAGGCTTTCAGGATTTATTGGGAGGACCTAATGCATATTTCCTGCATGAAGGCTTTCAGGATTGGTCTTTATTGGGAGGACCTAATGCTGTGTTTCCAACTCTGGCAGTTTGATCGTGAACTTCATGATAGTGGTGTTTTACTTTAAGCATCAGGCCCTGGAGACAGCTGAGTACATGAGACTCTCTGCACTCGTGGAAATAATCGTTCTGTGCCCTGATCCTTGTGATGAAAAGTTGAAAGTGTGACCTGAGGGCACCCTAAAGGCTCAGAAACCAGGTGGAAATAAGAGAACCCAATCATTATTGTTTAAGTAACCCGATTTTTAACCAGTCTTGAGGGGTGGAGTGATCCTGACTCATTTTTTTTGAATGTTTGAGGTTGCAATACAGTTGTGACCTGTTTTAAAGTGTAAGCACACATGCATCCTTAGGAGAGGGTAAAGTCCTGAGTTGCCTGACATAGAACTTAAAGCAGGTTTGTAGGGGTGTGTTCTGCTTTGATTTTTTTTTTTTTTTAGAATTTTTTTGTTTGTTTTAAAGCATGCTGAGATTTTTTTACTATTAAATTTTAGAGTGGAGTCTATTGAAAGAGTTTACAGGGGCTGGGCATCCAGTTCCTACTAAATATGGGGCACACAGCTCCTGTAGGGACCTTTGAAGATCCCAATCTAAAGGGGACACGTTGGAGGGGGGGAAAGGTCCAGAAAGCAAATGTCATGAAAACACGTCAATTAAATCTGTGCTGTCCAACCAGTTCTGAAGCAGTAGCCACTGTAGTGGCTAAAGCCACCCAGCAAAATAGCCACATTGTTCAAGCCAACTAGTCCCACTCAATTGGCCAAATAGCCACATGTGGCTAGTGGCTAGCGTGTTGGACGCTACAGAATTAAATGAAACTGATGCAAAATCAAAAAGTATAACACAACGCAGGTTTTGAAGCGAGGTGTGTGAAACTGCACATCACCTAAAACACGCCAACCAGTGCTCCGTGGAGACAGAGCAACCGGGAATTTGGGCGTATACGTAGCCAGTCAGGTGCTTGATTTGGTCTCACGTGTCTGAGTGCTGGGTTCTGTGCTTGTCGGGGGCCCACTGTGTGCCAGTTGTAGGCACCTAACTTTGAAATAGAACTCTGGCTGCCAGCATTTGTCAGACCCACAATTGCCAAGATAAACTTGAAAGAGCCATAAAAGGAATGGCACCAGCTTCTCCTCTGCTGTGCTTAGATGCAGTTTAGATGTGAGCTTGTCTGTGGAGCTGTAGCAGCCACAGATGATCTAGACCATTTTGTTGAGGCTCATCCATTATGAATAATCCCGGGATTGAGTTAGTTCCTCTTGTTTGCTTTTCCACTGTTTACAAGGGCAGGGAAGCATGAAATTGGCACTCCTGCTGGTCACCCCACTCAGGCCACTGCCTTATTAAAAACCCAAACACAATCTCTGCTTATTGGCTTGTGGTTATCTGGCCTGGAAAAAAGGATACTGCAGCAATCATGGAGGGATACAGATTTTGGAGGGGATCTGGCTGCCCTAGTGTTAACTAGGCGCCAGTTTCTGTCCTCACAAGGTGCTCACCCTTGTTTGTATTTTACCCCTAAAATAAAACTGGACTAATCATTAACTCCGTTTCTCTCAACTGGCTCTAGTTCTTAACCATATTTATTAATCCCACTTCGTAGTATTTACAGTATATATAGCATCCTCGTCCCGAACTACTGTGTGTTCAACTTCATTGGTAACTTTTTGTGCTATTGAGATATGGAAAAGAGGAATGATATTGACGCACCCCTCAACTGCGCCTGTGCAAGGCTGGGAATGTTACAGGAGAGGGGTTTTGCCTTGTTAAAAAGGTACCGGAGCACCATTTACATTTGTCCTCTGAACCAGAACTTTTCAGTGTTCCCTATAAGTCGTGTGCTTGTGTGGCCACTCAGGAGAGATTCAGATGTCACCCACCTGATTAGCAGCACACCCCCAGCTAGGACTTTTGTTTCTGCTGGTGGTGCACATTCTCACACACCTCAGTGCACATAAAATGTATTCCACATGCAGATAGAGAAGATTAGAGGGAACTTGGCATGGAGTTGCCTTCTTTCTGCATTGTGACAGCCTTAATTTAGTTCCTTCCTCTCTCTCTCTCTCCCATCATTTTTGTGCTATTTCCTTCCCCTCCCCTCGCTCCCTGCACCGCACCACACAGGCATACCTATGATAATCACTCTAGGACCCAGTGCATACTGTTCTAGCAAACTTGGCACTCTACAGTGCTAGCCCATCGGGGGCCCCCAAGCAGCAATATTTTGGGTAGGTCCCCACACACAACACATACCAATACATACAGGTCCACATCAAGCTGTTTGAGGCCCGAAGCAGGTGCTCAGTCTGCTTACACCTAGCACCAGCTCTGTTAAGTCAGGGAGACTGAAGGTAGGGCAGCGAGACTTCAGTGCAGGTCGTTCTAGTTTCTCTCTCCTAGATTTGCACAGCTGCCAAAGTGTAATGAAGATGTTGGTTTGTCTGTTTGCTACATGCTACCTGGCAGCATGCCAGCAGAGTGCCTGCTACATAAGTTGAAAGCTTACATGGCATAAGCCACCCACCTTGATTTAGAATTCAGAACCAATGTTGCCACCAGGCCCATAGGCAAACTGTTTCATCTTTTGGTGAATTCAGGTTTGTGTTTTATTCCCAACAATCTGTTCTCCCACAGTGTGTCCTAAAAGATGCTAAACTGGCAGGAGGAAAGGAAAGGTTCCTCTCAGTAATAAAGATACTTTGATAAAACACCTTTATTGTTGGATACTACAAAATTAGAATGCCACCAGGTCTGGCTTGGATAAAGGGAGACTTAGGTCTCAGTGTGACATGGAACAATTGAGAGGTACATTTTCTTCCCAGAGAGAAAACCCTTTTCCTCTGGAGTCTGTTCTGCTCTTCCTTGTGCCACAGACAAGCTAGAAAAACAAACTTTTAGTGGAAATAGCTTCAAACGTGCCCAGATGAATGCTGTTGGTCATAGTTTTGGGAGATCTTTTTCCCATAGTAACAGGATCCCTCTCCCCACCCTCAATATTCAAGCCAGTTGAGTCATTTCCTTCCAAAGACCATATTAAACTCCTGGTCTGTTGTTCCTCTTGTACTTTTCCAAGGATTTTGTCAACAAACAGGCTTATTTCCTGTACCCATGATGGCTCTAACTTCCTGGGCTTGCCCAGCCTATAAATGTCACATTTACATCATCTAAGACACAGCAGGCTGTGTTACTGAATCTATTGTATACAGGCAGTCCCCGGGTTACGTACAAGATAGGGACTGTAGGTTTGTTCTTAAGTTGAATCTGTATGTAAGTCGGAACTGGCGTCCAGATTCAGACACTGCTGAAACTGACCGCCAGTTCTGACTTACATACAGAATCAACTTAAGAACCCCAGGCGTCCCCAAGTCAGCTGCTGCTGAAACTGATCAGCAGCTGATTCCAGGAAGCCCGGGGCAGAGCAACTCTGCTGGCACCGGAGCAGCGAGAAAGCCCCGTTCGTAAGTGCGGATCCGACGTAAGTCGGATCCGCGTAAGTCGGGGACTGCCTGTATATGCAATAACATGTCACTTACTTTTGAGATATTTTCTGCAATCTGGTAGCTAAATATTTATTTAGTTTTAATTTATTTATTCTTCTTTGAAAACCATGTTCTTTCGAAATCAGTTCACCTTATCGATAATTTTAAGTTCTGCTAGTGATTAAATTTGTATCTAGTTAAAGGGATGGGGACCTATGGCCCAGCATGCGGCATGTCTTGATCCGGCCCACGAGGCTTGGGCTCTCTCTTCCCACAACAGAGCAAGCCAGAGCTGGCTTGTCCTGCTATGGAGTCCGGAATCCCAAGCGTAACAGGCTGGATCAATGCAAGTTACAGGCTGCATCGGGCCCACGGGCTCTGCCTAGCAGGGGAGAGGAAGTGGTTCTTCATTCTGATGTCATCCCCTACTCCCTCTGGCTGGGGAAATGGCAGCTCAGAGAAGCTCTGGTCATGTGCTCACATGCGGTTCTACCACAGGGGAATGGTCAGAGGCCATCTGGGGGACCACCAGCCATGCAACTCCTCCCCCAACACAGGGAAGGGTCAGGACCATTCCTCTTCACCTCTGCTCTACTCTTCCCTCTCTTGCGCTGTCCTCTCCCTGCCTCTCCTCTTCCCCCCAACCAAACTCTCCTACTGCCTCCCCCCCTTATCTCTCCTCCGCCTCCTGCTTCTCTCTGTCTATTTTTGTCTCTTTTCCCCCTCCTGCCTCTCACTTTCCCTTTCTCTTCTCCTCCTCCTCCTGCCTCTCTCTCCCCTGTGTCTGTCCCTGCCCCCTTTCCCTTCCCCTTCTCTCCCGCCATGGCACTTGGCTGAGTGCTACCTGCTCAGCTGGGTTGCCACGAGGGAGAGGGGCGGGGCCGTGTATGTCACCGCCCTCCCTTCCCCTCCCACTCCGGGGGAGCCCAAACAGCCCCTTGCGCTGCTGGCTCCCCTGGCGGCCCAGCTGAGGGGCACAGCGGGAGGGGGAGTGCCACAGCAGGAGGGGAAGGGGGTTGGTGACGTACACGGCCCTGCCCCCTGGCCTTGTACGTCACCGCCCTGCACCCTTCCCCTCTCTCCGTGGCGGCTCGGCTGAGTGTTGTGCACGGGGGAGGAGGGGCAG